TACCCTTGTAGGTAATAATATGGTAGCTAGACCTTCAAAATTTATGTATCTAAACTTTGTTAGTGCTGTTTCTTTGCTATTCTTTTACCCTTCTTGGTCATAGCGATGTAGTGGGAGCTGCAAGCTTCACGTGTCTAAACTTTGTCAGAGATCTTTGGCAAAGTTATCTATGGTACCCATAAGCTGATGGTGCATGTGGAAAGTGGATGATTGAACAGTAAGATTTACGTGCTTTCTACTTCACCAGAAATCTTCAACAGAATGCCCGTAATTTCAGCAAAGCTGAGTGTGCATGTGACAGGTGCTGACAAGGCTGAAAAAACAGGTGCCTCTTCGATTTCTAAGATCGGCCCTCGTGGTCTCTGAGCAGCCCAGCTTTTGAGAAAGCAATCGCCTATTCGATTTCTGAGATCGGCCTTCGTGGTCTTTGAGCAGCCCAGCTTTTGAGAAAGCAAACGCCTCTTCGATTTCTGAGATCGGCCCTCGTGGTCTCTGAGCAGCCCAGCTTTTGAGAAAGCAAACGCCTCTTCGATTTCTGGGCAGGTGCCTCTTCGATTTCTGAAGCTCCGTCGAGTGCAGATTTTTATAGAGGCTGGCATTAAGTTCCAAAGCACACTTGAATCTTCACCAGTAGAAGCTCCATTCTTGCACTTCTAAGAACTTGATTTGTCCGACCTCTTCTCTCTTCAACACCTTTGAAAATGTCTGGCCCATCTGACCGTCGTTTTGACTTGAACCTCGTTGAAGAGGCAGCCACGCATTCTCCAGACAACATATAGCGCCCATCCTTCTTATCCCCTACTGGTCCGCTTACCGTTGGGGATTCCGTGATGAAGAATGATATGACTGCTGCGGTGGTGGCCAGGAACCTTCTCACTCCCAAAGATAACAGACTATTTTCCAAACGGTCTGATGAGTTGGCTGTTAAGGATTCTCTGGCTCTAAGTGTTCAGTGTGCAGGTTCTGTGTCTAATATGGTCCAGCGCCTATTTGCTCAAACCCGCCAAGTTGAATCATTAGCGGCTGAAGTGATGAGTCTCAAACAAAAGATTAGATGGCTCAAGCATGAGAATAAACAGTTGCACCGGCTCGCACATGACTATGCTACAAACATGAAGAGGAAGCTTGACCAGATGAAGGAATCTGATGGTCAGGTTTTACTTGATCATTAGCAGTTTGTGGGTTTGTTCCAAAGGCATTTATTGCCTTCGTCTTCTGAGGCTGTACCGCGTACTGAAGCTCCAAATGATCAACCTTCGATGCCTCCTCCTTCTAGGGTTTTGTCCAGTACTGAGGCTCCGAATAATCCCCCTCCGGTGCCTTCTCTTTCTGGGGCTCTACCGACTGCTGAGACTTCTCCTAAGCAACCTTTGTGAAGGCTCCCTCTTGTTTGTTTATTTTGACTCATGTATATGTACATATTTGTAACTTATCGGAGATATCAATAAATAAGTTTTGCTTCATTTCAACGTATTGGGTTAAATACATCAAAGCCTTTTTCACTGAGTGGGTCGGCTATATGAATCTTAGAACGCCATTGTGCTCGGTCCTGTGTCATGTCCTCCGTTAGATCCAAATACTTTAAGTCTTTTCTTAGTGTCTCTTCCAAAGTTTTCCTAGGTCTTCATCTACCCCTCCGGCCCTGAACCTCTGTCCCGTAGTCGTATCTTTTAACCGGAGCGTCAGTAGGCCTTCTTTGCACATGTCCAAACTACCGTAACCGATTTTCTCTTAATTTTCCTACAATTTCGGCTACTCCTACTTTACCTCGGATATCCTCATTCCTAATCTTATCCTTTCTCGTGTACCCACACATCCAACGAAGCATCCTCATCTCTGCTACACCCATTTTGTGTACGTGTTGATGCTTCACCGCTCAACATTCTGTGCCATACAGCATCGCCGGCCTTATTGCTACATGTATTAATAATGATTAAAAAAATAAAATGAAATATGTGTGAGTCGATTCGTTTAACCGTACTCTAAAAATTTTGAAAATCGATTGCCAAAATAATTAAAGTCGGTGCAGTTCGATTTAACCATCGAAACTCACCTTAAGGCCTAAACGATACATCAGTTCAAATTTCAAACCAACCAGCCACCAAAGCGCCACTACCATTTTCTCTCTCTCTCTCTCTCTCTCTCTCTCTCTTTCTCCCACAATGGCCTCTTCCTCTCTCTTCCAATCTTCCCCTCTCTCCCTCAAACCACAAAATCCCACCTCCCTCCATCCCTCAACCAAACCCCATTTCGCCACCACCATCAAATGCGTCTCCACCTCCACTCCTCCCTCCTCCTCTTCTTCCTCCTCCGACCACCCTCCCCACAACATTCGCGACGAGGCTCGCCGCCACAACACCACCCACTCCCACCACTTCTCCGCCCGCTACGTCCCCTTCAACGCCGACCCCTCCTCCTCCGCCGCCGAGTCCTACTCCCTCGACGAGATCGTTTACCGATCCAACTCCGGCGGCCTCCTCGACGTCCAGCACGACATGGCCGCCCTCAAAAACTACGACGGCAAGTACTGGCGCGACCTCTTCGACTCCCGGATCGGCAAGACCACCTGGCCCTACGGCTCCGGCGTTTGGAGCAAGAAGGAGTGGGTCCTACCCGAGATCGACAGCGACGACATTGTCTCCGCTTTTGAAGGTAACTCCAATCTCTTCTGGGCTGAGCGTTATGGCAAACAGTTTCTAAGCATGAACGATTTGTGGGTCAAACACTGTGGGATTAGCCACACTGGCAGTTTTAAGGACTTGGGCATGACTGTTTTGGTCAGCCAAGTGAACCGGCTGAGGAAAATGAACCGCCCCGTGGTCGGCGTCGGCTGTGCCTCCACCGGAGACACATCCGCCGCCTTATCGGCCTACTGTGCCGCAGCTGGGATACCATCGATTGTGTTTCTACCCGCAAATCGGATATCTCTGGCTCAGCTGGTTCAACCCATTGCCAATGGGGCCTTCGTGCTGAGCATTGATACTGATTTCGATGGTTGTATGCAGCTGATTCGAGAAGTCACGGCGGAGCTACCGATTTATTTGGCCAATTCTTTGAACAGTTTGAGATTAGAGGGTCAAAAAACCGCCGCAATAGAGATTTTGCAGCAGTTTGATTGGGAAGTGCCGGATTGGGTCATAGTTCCAGGGGGAAATTTGGGTAACATATATGCTTTCTACAAAGGGTTTCATATGTGCAAAGAGTTGGGGCTAGTAGATAAGATTCCTAGGCTTGTTTGTGCCCAAGCTGCAAATGCGAACCCGCTGTACTTGCATTACAAGGCAGGGTGGGATCAAGAGTTCAAGCCCGTGAAGGCGAACACTACGTTTGCATCCGCAATCCAAATAGGTGATCCTGTTTCGATAGACAGAGCCGTGTATGCACTGAAGAAGTCGAATGGGATTGTGGAGGAAGCCAGTGAGCAGGAGTTGATGGATGCCATGGCTCAAGCAGACTCCACTGGCATGTTCATATGTCCTCACACTGGTGTGGCATTGGCTGCATTGATTAAGCTTCGGAACCAAGGGATCATAGGCACAAATGACCGGACTGTGGTGGTGAGCACGGCTCATGGGTTGAAATTTACGCAGTCGAAGATTGATTATCATTCAAATGATATCAAGGATTTGGCTTGCAAGTATGCTAACCCGCCAATGCAAGTGAAGGCGGATTTTGGGTCTGTGATGGATGTTTTGAAGAAGTACTTGTTGAGTAAGGTGCCAAAGAATTAGTTGCTGAGTATGCTCTGCTCTAGTAATAATGTAGTCTTATGTTATCATCATTTGGTTCACGGAGTTAGAGCCTAATAGGCATTGGTGTAGTCTTTGTATTCAGTTTTTTGTTGGATTTCTCAATGGTTAGGCTGAGCAACTGTTTAGTTTACGTAGAACTCGGGATCAAATTCTGAGGCAGCATTGCCAATTTTGTACGAGTTAATTATCATTTGAATTCCATCACAGTTTTCTTCGGGTTGAGTTTCTTTGTGCCCATTTGAGATTGCTTCTCTAGAAAACATGTATGCTCATTAGTGCTTTTGCTAGAAGTGCTTTTATTATAAATACATTATAAAAATCCAATCGCCCCCAAAAAAGCACTTGGAAGTGTTTTGTGAAGAAGATCTGGCTGGTGCTTCTAAATTATTGTAATAGTTCCGAACCCTCCCCTTCCTCTTAATAATAATAAAATTTAATAAAGAAAATATCACTCGTACTAAAAACACATAAAACTAAAATGGTAACATCACTTTGGCCCATTCATGTCAAGGAGTTGGCTAAAAACACATAAAGCAAAGACAACCTTAGGATCATCACAAGACTGAAGCATTAGAGATTCAGAAGGTAACTGTCATTACCGGCTGGATTTGAGACAAATGCATAGAAACGTGTGCTGAAGTTTTTCTCCGGTCACCACTCAAAAAATATGACTGAACTCCTCCCTTGTTCAGCACTTCACTACACACTGAGATGGAGCAAAACCAAAGCACACAACAATTCAAAGGCCAAGCAAGGTTGCCAAATTTTGCAGTTCTGAAATGCTACGATCTTCATCTCAAGCTTGATATGTGAAGCGAGCGCATTCTCCAGCGCTGCAGATCAACGTTAGCATAGTCCAAGAGACCAAGTTTCTTGTCTGGAATGCTCTTGAACTTGATGTTCATCCAAGTTTTGTTCACCAGCTCTCGAGGCCAAGTAACTTATTCTTGATCAACAATGATTTGATTTTATTGGATTTTCGTTTTGTTGGGTTTTTAGTATAAAAGGTTTTTCATTCTTAATTTGCAGCAGCAGTACCACCTGTGAGATGTTTTGGACGGTGATGATGAATTTCTTGTTTTGGTGTTGGATCAATCACTTGGTGTTGGTGAAAGAGTTTTGAGGATTGAGTTTTCAGCAGTCCTTAAAGCGCACCTGAAAGGGTTCTATAAATGGTAAGAAAATTTGAATCAGTTGGTTGGTAAATTATAAGTTGCTGCAGCTATGGGAAAGAGTATTTCCGAACACAATGAATTGCTTATTGGATTTTGCGACTGTCAGGCTGCTGTCTGTTTGGTTGCTAAGAAAATAGAAGGAAAATTTTCTCTTACAAAAAAAAGTGGAAATTTTGTTGTGCTTAATTTGCTTTTGTCCCCGGTAGTTTCTTTGTCACCAAACAAGGTTTTTAATGAAAGCATCTGATACTTTCTCAGCACCAATATGGACGGGTTAGAGAAGAAGAATGTGGCAATTACTCAATTCGAACCTGTAGATGCATGGTGGAGCTTTCCATGTTGCGATGAACCTGCTCTGAAGGTACACTGCTCATATTTGAGAAGTTCCCGTAATTGTTGAAATGTTATAGATGCAACCTCTAAGTTCGCTTGTTAAAATTCCATGATTAAAACAGTCACATAAATTTGCTTAAATCCGACAACTCTTCTTTCTTTTGCTGATAGGACACTTTCAAGATAGCAGTAGATGTTCCACTGGAGCTGACAGCTTTATCCAATATGCCAATTGTCAATGAGAAGCTTGATGCAAATGTTAAGAGTAGACTGCTTATTTTGAGGAGTCTTCTATCATGTCAACTTATTTAGTGGCTGTTGTTGGTGTATTCTATTATATCGAAGACACAACATCCGATGGTATGCAAATAGGCGGACACTGTTCAATTGTGTAACAGAATTCGTTTTAGATATTACTTAAACTTTGTCTGCGGGGGTACTGGTTCGTGCATATTGCCCTGTTGGGAAGAGTGACAAAGGGGACTTTGCTCTAAAAGTTGCTGTTATGGCGCCCGATCCTTTCTCCAAGTAAGTTTTATTTCTTTCACTGCTGTTGTGGTTATTTTATTTAACTGAGTGATCGTTACATCTAGATACTTCCAACGTCATACTTTCTCCCCAAACTCGATGTGGTTGTGGTTCCTCAATTTTCTGGTGGGGCAATGGAGAATTATGGTTTGATCACATATTGTGAAAATGAACTGCTTTATGATCCTTTGCATTCCACGATGGCAAGGAAGCAAAGAATAAGTTTAATTTCTAATTCCACTTTAAGCTTTGTTGCACTTTTGCTGTTGTAAAAGGCTCCACGGAATAGTCTGATGAAATATCTATCAACCCTTTTCTTGTTTTGTTAGATGGCAATAGTTGTAGCACATGAAGCATCACATGACGATGGAATGGTGGACCGATTTGTGGCTTAATGAGGATTTTCGATTTTGTGACAAGGGTATTTTTTCGGTCTTTCAGCTCTCTATACCTTCCAACTGGATGGCATTTCACAGGATATAGTTATCTGATCTTTGAGAGCATGCTTCATCTTATATTCATTTTAACATTTCAGATGAGGGAGGGGGTACAAAAACTGCTCTATGCAGCATATTTATCTGCTGGTTGGCAATTCCTGAAGTCTTAGATGAAATCAGCTATAAAAAGGGATCTTCTGTTATGAATGCTGCAGGATTATCTTGGGGATGACGTATTCCAGGTACAAAATTGATGTCCCCCTAGCGAGATTACCTTTCATGCCGTACCAATAACTTAAAGTTTTCACAGTGAATACTGTGGGCTGAAGTACTCTTCTTAATCTTATCACCAAATACACTGCTTGAAATTAGGCCTTGCAATCCTTGACAGTATTCTGCATCTTAATCTTATCACCAAATGCACTGCTTGAAATTAGGCCCTTGCAATCCTTGACAGTTTTCTGCAATTCCATGAAGGCCAAAGATGGGAAATTGAAGAGTTCTTGTTATGAAGACATTCTAGTTTGCAGTACATTGTCAATTTACTCTCTGTAATCAGTTAAATGTGTTAACATATATTCAGTTTGTTTATTTACTGTGGGGCTTCATTACCCAATCGGAAAATTGTTAAGTTCCTATATAAAACGATATTCTGGCAAAAATGCAAAGACAGAAGATTTATGGAGTGTTCTTTCGGAGGAATCTGGTGTCAAAGTCAGTGAAATGATGGATGGTTGGACAAAGGAAAAGGGATATCCTGTTATCTCCGTAATAGTCAATACCAAAATCATATTATCTGCAGAAATCTAATGAATTTTTTGTTTTGCAGACACATTTCCTGTCATCCGCTGTGCATGGTGATGGGAAATGGATACTTCCAATAACTTTTTCACTTGGTTCGTATGAGAGGCGCAGGACTTTCCTTTTGGAAACAAAGTCAACAGAAGTGAACATTTCAGATCATGTCGATTCCTCTGATAATGATTTAAAGAATAAACAGAAATGTGATGAACAACTGTGGTCAAGGTTAACATCAAGCAGAGCGGTTTCTTTGGCGTCAATTATGAAGATAAGCTTGCAGCTAGCTTAGGAAGGCTATTGAGCAAGCTTAGAAGCAACGGAGAAATTCGGTGTTCAATTTGTCACTTTTCAGATTGTTTTGATTCTGTGGTTTCGCCTTTCAGATTGTTTACTTGATTTTGAGCCATTATAAGCCATTCATAATTAGACGGTTTATAGCTCCGAGTCTCACATTTCATGCATTCTGGATGATGCATATGCTCCATGTGAAGCTTATGAACAGTCACTTTGATCTTTGCTTTCTTTGATGGATGCATACAGAAAATAAGAAGATAATATTTGTCGTAACAAAATTGATAGATGTAAGTACAAAATTTTGTCTTGGTGAATATCAGTAGCAGCACCAACTATTTATGGTAGCATTATCTTTTGCGTTGTATATGCAACTGCAGGTTTGTTATAATGTTGTTGAAATCTCCAGTGAGGCCATCCCAGATTCGGAAATGAGTTGAAAAAGTTTTTCATTAGTCTCCTCCTGTTTTCAGCTTAGTAGAACACACATTATTAGCATGTGAAAACCTTTTTTTCCTTTTTAACTTATTGAATGAGTTGTATTTTGGCCAGCGATTGTGAATTCGATGCCAGTAAAATTGGTTTCTCTCTCTTTTTCCTTACCTAAAATGAACATTGTATGTTGTTGTGATGTTTTGGAGTCTCCTCACGATCATGCGGTAATACTTTATATAGGATCGCTAAACAAGAGTTTAAAGCTAACATACTTAATATATTTGAATGTATTCATACAGAAAACTTGGTTGGGAATCAGTACCAGGAGAGAGTCACTTCAGTGCACTTCAGAGAGCAGAAATCTTGCAAGATTTGGTTACGTTCGGCCATTACAAAGCATAAAAAGAAGCATTAGACTGATTTCAGACATTATTGAACGACAGAAACACTCCGCTACTTTCCTCATCCTTATTAGGCATTTTCGAGTTTAACAGGCAGAAGTCTGAACATTGTCCTGCAGGCTGTTTACATTGCCGTGATGAGGAATGCTAGCAGTTCAAATAGAGAAGGTTTTGATTCCCCATTAAATGTTTACAGAGAAGTGAATACAGTGCAAGAGAAGGAAAGGATTCTACGTAAGATTGAAAAGCTTGCATTTTCCGGCATTCCCCTATTCTCCGTCTCTTGCTTAGACGAAAGTAACTTGGACTTTTTTCTTTACGTTTTGACCTTGTATCAGGGTTTTTTTCCATCTTCTCCAGACCCGGTTACAGTTCTGGAGGTTCTGAACTTTTTTGCCAGTTTACAGCTTACTTCATCTTAATTATTTTCAGGTTCGAGATCAATACATCATTTACGGACTTATTGGTACAAGCTTAGAATGCTGTGAAACAGCGTGGAGATGGTTAAAGGCACGAGTTTTATTAATTCCTGGAAACATGTTTTAGATGAGTGTGGAATTGGAGAGTAAACTATTTTTGGCTATGAATGCAGAAGAACTGGGACCTGATCCTGACCAAAGACAGCGCTGGGATGATGCTCACCCATTTCGTGAGAGACATTGTGACACCGGTAAGCAGAATGATTTCTGTCCTTAGCCCGGTAGGCGATTGTGTACAGTTTCTTCTGACAACCGTTCGTGTTACTTATAAAGTCTTTGCAATTTTGTAGCAACGAAAAGGCTGATGAAGTCGAAGAATTTTGCGATAGCCGAGCGAATCCTGCAATTTCTCTGACTTTGAAGCAAAAGCATTGCTCAAGTCCAAATCAAGGCGAGGTGGTTTGAACACATGAGGCAACAGCAATCCCTTTTTGCGGTTTAGCGCAAATCCTCACTTCTAATATCGTTGTATGGAAGAGAAAAAAATGTCGACTTGGTATATAATACCATGAACATGTCCTCGTTTTTTGGGTCAAGACTCAATATATGGCAATCAAACCAAAAAATCAAAGGTTTTCTTGTTGGATTTCTAAGTTTCTTTCGCTTGTAGCTTACTACTTTTACATAATTGTGTATATATACATATATGTGTACGTATATATGGTTGCAACTTCCACTGCATGCTCTAGTTGACCAATGTTTCAAGAAAAAATGTGTCTAATTTCGGTGGTAATTTTTCTTACTTTTAAAAAGCAAGAAAAGTATATTAATATTTGGAAATCCATTACTTATAGCCGCCTTCCCAAACCCCCTCTGCAAGTTACCACCATCTCCATCATTGTCATCAAATTTATCATTAGCATATTGCATATGCTATCCTTTTTCAATTTAATTTTATATCTAAAACCCGAGAAATTGTTGTATATTATATATCTATATATATATATATATATATATATAATTATATAATTATATATATAAACTACATATTAATATAATTCCCTCTCAATCCCCTTTGATCCTTCGATCAATCCCAATTCCGTCATCTTGAAGCTGGAACAAGCTTAGGATCACCAATTCGAATGGCAGCCATGCCAAGTTTGCTATTTTTTTCTTTACCCCCACGACCATGTCACCCTATCAATACCCTCTAAACTTACTCTCTTTCTCTCTTCTTAACACCAACCCCCTTTTTAGATGTCTATGAACCCCGTTAAGAACAAATAACTCCTCCCATAAAAAATTTAAAAAACAAAATTCGAAAAAAATAAAAATAAAAATCATGTTTCTCACGCATAGAGTGTGTGACATTTTTCTAGTATATATAATATGTGATATAACTAGTGTTATTGTCATAGCCCGTCCCGAATTATTATTATTGGTGATGTAAAATGACGGTTTTATCCTTGGATATTGAAATTTTAGTGTGTGTGTGTGACTTATTTTGGAGACTTAGATGTTATTTCCTTGGTTGGGTGGTGACCACGTGGAGCTCACACACAACACACGCACCTTCTCTCTTCTCTCCCGTGCTCTCTCATCTCTCGGACTCTCTCTCTTTCCCTCACATACGGACAAGCACAAAGCTCACACTCATGCATGGATCGACGTTCTAAAGGTGAGATTCTCGTTCCTTGCAAGCCCTTGAGTACATCTATACTATCCTTAGGACTTGAAACCGTGAAAAACCCGAGAAACCCTAACCTCGATTTTGTGCACAGTTCATGCACACGTAAAATCTTGTGTTTCAGGGAATTTTAAGGACATAGGAAGCTTTAGGACGTCCTTGTGAGGCTTGGAGAAGAAAAATGGAGTGAATTGGACATCGGAGGAGTGAGATCGAAGCACTACAAGTTTGGCCGGAATTATTGAGCTTGCTCAGGCGTGATTCAGTGGTTTTCGAGGCTTCAAACAGGTATAACGTCGTTCCTCTCATCTCCAGCTTTCCAATGGTTCAAGTTTCATAAAAAATGGTGAAGAAACGAAGGAGAATAAGCGTTTTAAAGTTTTACCCAGTTTCCGGCACCGACGACGGTCGCCGCAGGTTCAAGGTTAGGGATGATGGAATATTCCATCAAGTTTGAAGGAATATTCCACGGCGTCAGTTAAATTTAATAGATTCTGTTACTATTTGACGGAATATTCCTGACGGCGTTGACTGATGCCGTCAGTATGCCTGTCACGTGGCCGCGCGTGGGGACGTGTATTGTCGTGCCTTGGTCGGCGCATGGGTGGTCAGAAAATTATTCTAAAAATATGGGGATGTTCGTGGAGTTGTGTAGGTCACTGTGGTATATTCAAATACCAAAATTGAGCATTGTATGAGAAGTTATTAGCTAGTTTTGCCTATGTGCTTTAAATAACGTTTTTATAGTTAATTCGCATATAGGTAAGACTTATCCCGAGGACGAGCGTGTTCAAGGGCTACTCGAGGGCTACGACCCTTCGACATACCAGTGAGTGGGCTTTTGGTTTTCAGTATATATTTATATACTTGATATTTTCCCAGAAATATATGTTTAAATGAAAGTATGCCATAAATGCCATGCATATAAGTATAATTCGTATATGAATTGGTATATGATGCTTTATATATATAAATGTGGTGCTGTGGACGCTCAGGTAAGCTCAGGTGAGTTATGTTTGGTTATGTGAATTGTCAATGGTGCGATATGTGATTGAATAATGTTGAGCACCTAAAACTGCACCTAGGGTGATTATGATTTAGCCAGAGATATGGCACACGCCTGTTTATTATGTCACCTCCCGCACCATATGCTCATATTGGATACAATTTTGGTGTACAGTCTTGTCATACAAACCTTATTTATGGTTCCGACTCATAGGTGACTAGCGATTTATCGCCCAGCTATTATGTGTGAGTAGAATTGAGCATGATTATATTACACCCATTATTGTTGTACAGACCTTTTCCTTTGGTTCCGACTCTTGTGCAGTATGTTGTCGTATAGGTCATTATAATGACTCTGACTAGATTGATTTTGAGCTATGAATTCAGCCGTACAGACTACCACAGTGATTCTGGCTAACATGTTACATTTATATGAAAGTATTGTTACCTGAATTGCTTACTCTGTTATAACATTTGTTTTTGCCCACTCACGTTTTCTGTTTTGCGCCCCTCCAGGTTTTAGGTAAGTTTGCAGTTGCTTGGTGTGAAGACTTCGGCCGTTCTGACCTATTTAAATAATTGTAGGACATCTTAAGGTACTGTAATTAGTACTTGTCCTATTGGACTGCACCTAAACTTTATATGCTCTGATTATGAGTGTTTACTTTTGTATCTTACTCTTAACACTTCCTGTTTAGTAGTGCACTCTAGTAGTTTTGATTTTTAATTATTCATATAATTCTTATCTTCATTGCTTCCGCACTGTGCACATGGCTACGTCACCCTCACGTGACAGCTAGCATGCCTTGATCTCGGTCGTGGTGTGTCAGTTTGGTATCAGAGCCTAGGTTTAGCAGTCCTGTATAGTTCTTGAATATTCTAATCCTTGTGATGTCTTATGTCAGAACTATGCCGCCTTGTAGAGAGCCCCGTCACTCAGATGAGCCTAGTTTCCCTAATATTGCTCAATTAGGGGAAGCTATAGTTACTGCCCTTCAGACTGCATTACGTCCTCCCTAGATGACACCTTTTGAGACTGTGTATAACCTGAAATTGAATCACTTCATAGGAAATAAAGGACATGAGGGAGCGGAAAAATGGCTTAATCATATTGAGAAGACCTTTCTTGTGATGCAAAGTCAGGGGAACCTTCCTCCTGATAGGTGGGTCGAGACGACTACTTGGTTTTTGCGAGAGTAGCCTGCATCTTGGTGGAGACAGGAGTCCCACCAGTTGACCCCAGCAGAGATTGCAGACTGGGGAGTGTTTAAAGAGTTGTTTCAAAAAAGGTTCATTCCTCCTGAGTACATTGATCATAAGAAACAAGAGTTTACTCATCTGAAGCAAGGAAAGATGTCATCTAATGAGTATTATAGGATGTTCACTGATTTGTCGCGTTATGGTCCGGAGGTTGCTGCTAATCTGGTTGAGATGCTTCATCACTTCAGATTGGGTACTAAGAAGAAATGGGGTTCCATAGCGACATCGACTCATTGTGCCATTTACCAGGAGTTTTATGAGGTTTTACTATGGATTGAGGACTCGGAGAGCATGCCCAGTGAAAGCGAGATGATAAGGGCAAAGGGCAAACATTTCAGGGACCTCGTAAGACCCATAATTTTAAGAGAAAAGGTGGTAGAGAAGAGGTGGTAGATTTACTGGAGGCCCTAGATTTCAGAGGCAGAGAGACTTTGGTGGTTTAAGTGCTCCTTTATGCCGCATGTGTAATAATCGGCATTTTGAGGAGTGTAGGAGAGGCAGCAGTGGATACTACACTTGTGGACAGATGGGTCATAGGGCTGCTCAATGCCCTCAGAATTAGCAGAGACCCCAGCAGACTTTCTTTCCACCACCTGCACCGACCCAGCAAGCTTTAGGATCTAGTGGATATGCCCAGACTGGACGAGGAGGTGCCTATCATTATCAAGGCGATGCCGCTCCTTACACCTCAGGACAACATCAGTACTCTCAGGATCCTTAGTATCAGAGTGGGTACCCTCAGTATCATGGAGGTTCTATGTCGTACCAGCCACATTCAGTCGGTGGATCTCAGTGGTACCAAGGATGACAGCCCTAGTAGAGAGAGATTGCTGCTAGTAGCGCAGGATCTTCTATGCAGTCTGGTCAACCTAGACAAGGACGTGGTGTTCATGCTAATAGAGGTCGTGGTGGACGATAGCATAATCAAGGACGTATCCATAACATGACACTGCAAGATGCTCAGAACAATCCTGATTTAATCATGGGTACGTTAAATATTCTTGGTCATTTTGCTAGAATATTGATTGATTGTGGTGCTACGCATTCTGTTATCTCTCATACATTTGCTTAAGTGACACAACCTCATTCTACACCTCTAGGATATAATTTAGAGTTTTCTATGCCTAGAGGGGATCGATGTTTTCTGGATCGGGTATATCCAGGACGTCTAGTATAGTACAGGATGTTGTTATGCCGGCTAATCTTATGCCATTGGATATTATGGATTTTGATGTGATTTTGGGCACTGATTGGTTGCACTATAATCATGCCAAGATAGATTATTATGGAAAGACAGTCACATTTCATTGTCCTGGATTTCCTGAAGTTACATTTGTAGGAGAGCCTAGTGGGGTGAGGCATGGTGTTATTTCTGCCATGAAAGCCAAAAGATTGTTGTCAAAAGGTTGTCAGGGATATTTGGCTCATGTGGTGTTGAATGATGATGCTCCTAGTAGTGTGGAGGATGTATGTGTGGTCAGATATTTTCCGGATGTATTCCCTGAGGATTTGCCTGGGTTGCCGCCAGATAGGGATGTGGAATTTGTTATTGATCTGCTTCCAGGTATGAATCCTATATCTTTGACTCTTTATAGAATGGCTCTTACTGAATTAAGGGAATTGAAAGTTCAATTGCAAGAATTAGTGGATAAAGGTTTTATTCAACCTAGTACTTCACCTTGGGGAGTTCCAGT